ATATGGTGCTGCTGCTATATATTAATATTAGTATTTTATATTTTTATAATATTTGGTCTTTACTGATGCCCTCCCATGGGTGTGGTGGTAAGATTAGCTCCTTTGATGTTGGCCAGGGGGATCCCTTCTAGGAACCCTCAGGTCTGCAAAGGAGACTCCTGCAGGTGCTGGGCACTGGAGGGAGTTAACATTATTGCTGCCATCAGTTTGACCACACAGATGTATTTACAGAGAGCATCCAGGTGCAGGATGCACAGCCCTTAATGCAAATCCCCAAAGGCTGGGTACTGGTCAGGAGAAAGGACCTTTTACTATAAACTGCCTGATGTCTCCCCTAGTTTCCTCTGTGGACTATTACAGATTGGCCCAGATCTGGGAACATATCTCCTGGGGCCCTGTGTAGACCCCTTGGTGGAGTGGCTTTTCTGTACTGGCTCACAAAGGATACTTCTTCCTGCACCTGTCATGTTAGCTGGCTGTTGAAGTAAGTGTCTGTCAAAGCAAACTGCTGTGCTCAACCCCAGTATCTCCATGTCTTGTACATGCTGAAAAAATTCTTTCTTTAAAAGTATTTTTGTTAAGAATGCAATAAATATATAACACTTTTAACACAGCTGCTGTTGAGTCGTTTGTTTCTCGCTATATTTTTGCCTGAGCTGGTAACTAGCCTGTCACAGATGTGGGTCTCCTGGAGACACTTGGCATCAGAGCATGGAGGCAGGGTTTATGGGTGGCATCCCATGGCATCAGCCTGGGCTGGTGGCTGCTGTCTTGCGTGGGATCTCCTGCCTTGGCTCTGTGCCTGAAGTTGGTTTGGGAAAGGCCAGTGGCTGTGGAGTGGGCAGCAGAGAGCCATGAGGCAAGTCCAGGGCAATAGTAGAGAGGAAAAGGGGAGAAGCCTGAGCCTCCCTCCAGCTGCCTCCCTCCTCACCGTCTCTTCTGGATCCTCACCAGAGGCTCTGTTCCCCTCCTGGGGAGGAATGATCCCAGCTGCAGAAAAATAACTTGCTATTTTTTCTGGGAATGCTCACTTCTCATCCCAGAACTTGGGAATTTGGTGTCCTGAGTGGGCTGGGCCTTAGTAAAAAGGCAACAATGATTTTTATTGGCTGCTAGTTAGAGAGTCTGTGGGGAAGGTGCTCCTGCAGAGGAAGAAGCTGTGCCTCTGACAGCTGTGGGGTTGATCCCAGCCCCAGTAGCTGCAGATGAGTCAGAAGTGGTCTCCATTGGTGTTATGTTTGGTCCTGAGTAGCCTGGTCAAGAACTGTGGTGTTTGGGAGGCTGGCCTGTCCCAAGGACTAGACAGGACATGAAATGATAGATTTATGACTGGTGGCAATGCCTCCCTGCAGGACCAGGTGCAGCTGAGGGTGTCTGGGTCTGCCAAAGGAGCAGTATGACAGCTCTTCCTCTGAGGATCCTCCCTTGGGAAACCTGCTCTGCAAGCAGAGCTTTGCCCATCAGTGTGCAGTGCTTGGGTCAGCCTAACCGTGCCTGTCCTGGGTGTCCAAACCAAGGTAGCCTCTTTGCTTCAATCCAAATGGAGTATTTGGCATTGGGAAGGGGACTGGACACTATGCAGCCTTCGCAGGAAGGGTTGGATTGTTCAGGATGTGAGCACTTTGACCTTGGGATGTATGTCAGTGAAGGCTGATCATGCCTCAGCACATGGTTTGTGCCCCTGGTTCACCAAGCTGGCTGCACTTTGATGGAATGATTTTTTCCATCCTTGGAAAGTATCTGCCTCTCAGCTGTGGTGTGCAGTGGTGCTAAGCGCCTTAGACCAACAGTTGGAATGTGGGGTTCATGCAGTCCTTTGTAACCTGTGTCTTTTGTGCCTTTGGGGAAACTAGAGCTTGGGGCTGGGCAGCGCTGATTCAAAACTGTTTCTTTTGTGTGGATGATCTCACCCCATTTACTTTACTTCAGGGAAGTATCACAGATGGAAAGCTTCCTTACTAGGAGTGTAAACCACTTGCTAGCTGGGTGTGGCTGTGAAGAAACGTGTTTGTGACTGGATTATCCCAGAACTTTCTGTTGGAGCTTCTGATGAGAGTGGCTGTGGCAGCGGCTGCAGGAACCTAGATGAGCAGCCAGGCAGCATTTGCTGCCGTGTTGCAGCAGTGCTGCAGCTCATGCCCTCCAGCCTGCACTGTCCTCCCAGCTCCCTGCTGCTCCAGCAGGTGGCCAGAGCCACAGGATGCAGGCAGCAGAGATGAAGGATACTTGGGCAGAACCGTGGAGGACTGTAGAGGCAGAAGGAGAGCAGTGAAGAGAAAAAGCTCATGCTTAACAAAATACTTGATAATAAAAATGAGCCCTGGTGGGCATAGCTAACTTCCCATTCAAAGCTGTATTTTCTACATCTCACTGTCAAATACAGTTTGCTGAAAACGGACTAGACGATCCTGCCACTGCTGCATGAATTCCTTGCTGCCACTGGCTCTAGATGTACAGGTCCTGTATGTTATATTTGGGATCTCTGAGTGACTTTAGGTTAGTAAATCTTCACAGGGGCAGCCTGATCTGTTGTGGATGGTGGGATCCAGAGCAGGGTCTCTCCTTAGCTGGTGCTGGGAAGCGTCCTGACATTTTGCTTGGACTAGAGAGCATCCTCTAGGATCTGTGCTGCAAGGCACCAGCACATTGGTCCGTCTCAAGGGTTGTGTATCTCATGGCTGGCTGAAGGCCTGATACACCTTTTGAGGAGTGATAGCTAGCACACAAAAGCAACAGCCTGGCAGCTGTGTGCTATTGCAGGGCCTCCTTCCCACCCCACTGGTCCAGGTCTCTCCTCAAATACACAAACTGGTGCTACAAAAGTTCCTTTGTTTTGTGATCAGAAGTAAATAAAGGTTAATAAAAGCCAGTGTTGGCAGTACCAGTCTGCTATTTAAATAATTAATGAAGATGGCAGCGAATCCTGGGTAGCACACATTAGGAAAAATACAACTGCTTGCAGGCACATGCACAGTTGCTTAACATTAAAACCAGAGCCTCAGGCAGTCTGAGACACTGCCACTGCAGACTTGTTTTGTGGGAAGTTTCACCAAGTTTGTGACCTTATATGTGTGGGTTATTGGGATCACGTGCAGGTGGACTTGTGTCTTTATCTGTGCATTCACATGGCTAGAGAAGGCAGACTATTCAAAAAATTTGACAAATTTCTTAAGCCAAAGAAATACCTGTATATATTAGGGAACTTAGGCAAGGACTAATAGCAGCACATGTCAGAGGAGCCATGTGCTCCCCTGCAGCCTCCTTGCCTTTGCTGCAGCAGGGCGTGCTGAACAAAAGGCAAATAGCATAAGAGAAAAATAAGTTTTAGCTATGAGCTGTTCATCTCTGATTTGGGGTCTACACATGCTGTGATGGGGCCTCCTTCCTGGGTAGGTGTTGTGAACTCATGCTGGTGGCAACTGGAACCAGTATTACCAAGCCTTTTTCATGTCCTCTAGCAGGAATATGGGGACTGTTACCCTAGTGATAGATCTCTGTCTTAGCAACTTTCACAGAGGGCCAGTTGCTGGGACTAGGAATAAATACATTTCTGCTGAGCTGAAATGAAGCTGGTTTAAACCAGGGAAATAAATCCTGATCTTTTTGTCAGCACTGCCAGGAGATCCCCACAATGTGGTGTTGGGGTTTCCACTTGCAGAGCTGAATTGGTTTCTTATGTCACACCCTGCTGAACTCCAAAGTGCAAAACCTTCCAGTATATTGGTATGTCCTTGGACACCCAGCACATACGCCCGTGCCCATTAGGTATCCATGTTTCTGTCCTTAGAATCTCAGTTCTGCTTGCCTGAGAGGACAGAAGCAAGCAAATCTGTTACCAGCTAAGTAAAAAGGCAGTGTTTTCAGAAAACAGACAGGGAGAGGAGCCCTGCCATATTCCAGGTATTCCTGAGAACAAGGGAGGGAGCCCTGGGACGTGAAGTGACAGTGGAAGTCTGGAAGTCCTTGTTTCCATCTCTAGGCAAAGATATTTCTGACTGGGAGGGCCTGTCACCCTTGCTGGCAGACATCCCTTCAGACTGGATGTGCATTTGTGTCATCCCTTCCCCAGCAAAAAACGGCACCACTGGCTTAGTGTTCCCTGGATGTCCATGCTCGTTTGCACACCATTGCTTATAACTCCATGCTTTCCAGCCTGGCTGTGTTGGTGTCTCTCTCCAAAGGTCATTCTGGCTTCTTCGTGGTGGTCATTCTGATGCAAGGGGGGGCACAGGAGAGACGTTTGTGCTTCACACCTGCCTTGTCCCCTTACCCTCAGATACGTCATCATCTCCCGGGAGGAGAGGGAGCAGAACTTGATGGCCTTTCAGCACAGCGAGAGGATTTACTTCCGTGCCTGCCGTGACATCCACCCTGGGGAGAAGCTGCGTGTCTGGTACAGTGAGGATTACATGAAGCGGTTGCACAGTATGTCCCAGGAAACCATGAACAGAAATTGCACAAGCGGTGAGTCCCTTCCCTTTCCATCCTCTCTCCTGATCCCCTCAGGCTGCCCCACAGTGGGGCCAAGTGTGGTGGGTGAAGCAGGTTTTGCACAGGTTGTGGGAGTAGAGCTGCATTTCTAGAAGCAGAGCACCTCCGGGTGAGAATCCTCAGCTCTGCCTGGCATGGATGGATGGGTGTACAAGAAGAATAAGATACCCACAGTCATGGAGATCATGAAAGAAAGATTTGTGCTGTGATGTGTCATGTCATGTGTTGTGTTGTGCCATGCTGTGTGTGTGTGTGCTGCAAGGGCCTGATGCAATGCCCGGGGATCACAGAGCACCCCATCACAAGACTTTCTGGCCTGAAGATTGCCAAGCTGATGATCCTACAAGACAGCATTAGGTTTTTCCTCTGAATATGCTGCTCTCTCTGGCTCCTGTGAGCAGCCTGTTTGAGGGAGCTCTGGCTGGTTTTGTGTCCATATGAATGAGATTTCCTTGGTGTGTTTGTATGTCCATTTTCCTCGTTTAATTTATCTCCTCTTTCTTCAGAAAGATAATTTGGGATCAGCGCGACATCAGCTCCTTAGTCTCACAACCTTAGAATGTGTATACAACGTACAGGAGGCTTTGTACTTGTCAGACTGATTCTTCCTTGGATAAAAATTGTTATCTTGTCTAAAGAGTAGCAATGTTGAAACAAACCCAGCAGTCCTTTGGGTCCACATATTGTCAGCAATATAGGAAGCTTTAGAGGAAAGCAAAAATTCTTAATGCATCTGTTCATCTGTACAGTGCTGATACCTCGAGTTAATTAGGAACATTTCTTTCCAGGCTAGATGCACAATGAAAGGGCCTCAGAGGGGCAGCCACACTAAATATAATTTGTAATTATGATTCCTGAGTATATTATTACACAGCTGCTGTTGCTGCCTTGACTTGGTAAAAGGTGTCTCCTCTTCAGTCATGGTGTGGACAAGATGTCCTGAAAAAGCTGGTTATCTCTATCACCTTAAGGTTGTTATGCACTTGCAGTGTTATACCTTGGTGGCTGTACTTGGGCAATTCCCACTTCTGAATTAACATTGGTATGAATTTGCTTTTTTATGTCAATGAACACCAGTGAGTGATTAGGTACCAGTGAGTGATTAGGCTGCAGTGATTTTGCTGCAGTAATATACACAGTCATCCAGATGTCTTAGTCCTTTCTGAAAGTACAGCAAGAGGCAGTCTGTGCCCTTGGAGCAGCTGCTCCACAGGGGCACCAAGGCTACGAGCTATTGCCCTGCCATGCAAGCACGTCTTTAGTCCTGGATTGTCATGGTGTCATGGTTTGTGGGAGCTGAAACAGTAACTCACAGCCTGCTCTGTGCTACGAGTGTGGTGAAGATCTGCCTCAGGACTTTCCAGAATCTGCCACAGCCTAATGCACCCTCAGGTAGAAACTCATGTGGCTACGGAGACCATTCCAGAAACCCCCTGACATCTTGGTGAGCTCACCCTGCTGCAAGCTGGGCTCAGCCTGCCTTCACAAAAGGGGCACAGAGATGTTAAAACGGAGCATCACCTGGGCCATTGCTAGACTTGTGAGAGACATCGAAGCTTCAACTGGGAGGGCACTGGGAAGTGGTCAGGAAGCAGCACAAAAATCTGCTGAGTCACTTTCTATTTAAAAGATTTCAAATCCCTGCAGATGAGTTTGTCAAAGGAAGTGGCACACTTTACGAACTCACAGAAAAATAACATGGTTTTGTTTCTGCTGATGATTTCTGAGCCGCCTCATCATTGGATTTGAGACCAATAATATGAGGGATCATCTTGTGATTTCTAGCTTTTCCATAGGGCTGAAGCACTCGGCTGGTTGGGGGAAAAAATCACCAAGAAAGAAGAACCGGTTCTCTAAATCACTACCTCTCACAGGTGTTGCTGTGGTCCATAACAGGGGAAATACTAAGAGAGAGAGTGAAAGCTTTGTCCATAGAAATTCTCATCAATGTGTTGAAAATGAGATCTGTTGTTAATGGATTCACTAAAAAGGTGGCTGGGTTTCCTAGCCAGCCTACAAACCCAGCGCAAAATCCCATCCATCCAGGCCAGCCCTTTTTACAGTGCCTTACTCTAACTTTTTCAAGTCTTACATCTTTTCTGCATTCTGAGCGTTGCTCTCCTTAGAGAGGGAATGGTAGCTTTTGCTCCATAACTCTTATGAAAGCATGAATGCACTTTAAGCAAACAAAACCAAAAATCAGCATAACGCAGCGTCTTGTTTGGGAAGCCATCAATGCTTGAAGTTTTTTACAAGATAGAAGAGTGATGGAAATTGAGCCAAACCTATCGTCTTTTGAATTTCCAGGTAAGGAAATCTGGCTATTCCCTTTATTTTAAGCAATTAATAATTTATATTAGGTTGCTTTTAATATTTTTTTTTCAATTACTGAATGTTCATGCTCCCAAACTCCACCAGGACAAGCTAGATGTCCCATCCTTGGAGGGCATTCACCCATTGTAGCTTAGTTGACAATGTGTACCTTAGGTTTTAAGTGTGGAAGTGTGTGTTTTTACTCCTTTACCTTTGCATTTCTGGAGCAGCCTCCAAACTGAACAAGAGTAAAGGGGCTTGCAAACTTTGTGCCATGGTGTGCACAGACACTGGGGTTGTCATGAAATGGTGTAAATCTCTCTCTGCACTGCTGTACGCTTGATACCTTTTACCAAGTCAAAACAGGCACAGGACTTCCAGCCAGCCAAAATAGCACTTAGGCTCTGGGTATAGTTTCCACCATGATCAGTCATTCACCTCATAGTCCTCTTCCAACACAGGTTGGTTATACCTTTAGGCTAAACAAGCTGCCTGTAGTTTCTCTTCTCTTTGAAATGTGTGGGTTCTGCTCTGCTGTGGTTACCCAGGACTGTCTCTGTTTTTGCAGACATGCCCATTAGCGGGGCTTCTCTTGCAAGCCTCGGTTTCCACTGAGTTGTGTCAGTTCCCCGGCTTGTAACATAATATGCAGACCTGCAGGGATTCAGTCTGCCTTTTTGTTCTTTTTTGTTTGAGTTTTAAATTGAGGGATGTTGTCCGTTCCCAGTGATAATCCCCACCCCTCATTTTCCGTTCTAGGAGACAAAATGTTACAGAACGAAAACTCAGAAAAGAATGTAGAAAATCAAGAGGATGCAAGGGGAGCACTCCAATTCACTACCTTAAAGCAGGGGAAGAGCCCCTACAAGCGCAGCTGTGACGAGGGAGAATCCCACCCCCAAACAAAGAAAAAAAAAATTGACCTCATCTTCAAAGATGTCTTGGAGGCTTCTTTGGAGTCTGCTAAGTTTGAAGAGAATCAGTTAGCATCAAGTACACCACTTTCCCTCAGAAGAGTATCTAAATACCAGGCTGAAGACATCTTTGAGCAGTGTGGCAGTGCCATGCAGCATGGCTCCCTGAGCCTCAGTAGAAATCAGAGGGAGAGCGAATGGAGGGTCCCTCACAGTTCCTCTTTCATCTCAGCCAAGGAAATGAGCATCCTTGAAGATGAGGAAGAAGAGCCCCTGTCACTTAAAGCAGACAGCCCAACTGAGCTGTCACTGGCCTCTGCACAAGGCAACTCCCATGAAATCCCCACCACATCCTTCTGCCCCAACTGCATCCGTCTGAAGAAGAAAATCCGGGAGCTGCAGGCTGAGTTAGACATGCTGAGATCTGGGAAGTTACCCGAGGCACCCGTGTTACCGCCCCAGGTACCCGAGCTCCAAGAGTTCTCAGACCCCACAGGTAAGCCTTGCCGAGTTAGAGCATTCTCCAAACCCTGCCTAAGGAGAGTAGTGAGATGCCTGTGTGCTGTGTACCCATCTAAAGCATTTTGCTCTGAGTATTCAGGTGAACCTGTGGTTCCATGGAAGGTTCTTTGTCAGGTTTTGTGACTGGGTGGGCCAGGAGCTGATGCTGTGGGTACAGTGGAAAACACTGTTTGGGAAAGACTCTGTATGACAATTTGCTCTATTTGTTGCCATTGTAACTGATAATGCACTGCCAATAAAAAAGACATTCCATTGCAGACAGTTTGTTTGCTGTATTTTTGACGCATTCTCTTTCAGCGGAAGACCTTCCACAATGCCTTACAAGCTACCAAGAAAGTATGAATGACTCTGTGGTAATGCTGAAATGTGCTCTCTTTGTGTATGAAATTATGTCCTGCTGTGTCCCTTGTTGGAAATCTCTCTTTGTTTCCTCCACTGCCTTAACACAACCACGTGTGGCTTTCTGAAGATACATTTCATTTCCTCCAGGAACATGCTGTCAAGCAGCCAGGAGCCTTCAGTAAAAGGAATATTTAGGTCACACAGTGTATTGTTCAAGTGGCCAGGATGTAGTGTCCTTTTCTGCTGTTCATTGTGGCATGTTGGAGACAAAGTTCTTATGCAGAAATATTGATTTCTTTTCCTTTCAAAGTCATGATTCAAATTCTGTCTATAATGTATTGTGGGCAGAAGAAGAGAGGTTGTGGCCAGCTCTTTGGGCAGTGCTCTTATTCTCACCAGTAGGATGCTTCTCTAGCTCAGCAACTTTGTAAATACCATATTTTTTCCTTTTTTTCCTTTTTTGTTACAGCTTCAGAAAGCATCATCTCAGTTCCCACCATCATGGAGGACGATGACCAAGAGGTGGATTCTGCCGATGAATCAGTTTCCAATGACATGATTGCTGCTACAGATGAGCCTTCTAAGATGTCTTCTGCGACGGGCCGGAGGATACGGCGATTCAAGCAAGAGTGGCTTAAAAAGTTTTGGTTTCTGCGGTACTCCCCGACACTGAATGAGATGTGGTGCCATGTCTGTAGGCAGTACACAGTGCAATCTTCTCGGACTTCAGCCTTCATCATTGGCTCTAAGCAGTTCAAGATACACACAATAAAGCTTCACAGCCAGAGCAACCTCCACAAGAAGTGCCTGCAGCTTTACAAGCTCAGGATGCACCCAGAGAAGACAGAAGAGATGTGCCGAAATATGACCCTGCTCTTCAATACAGCCTACCACCTGGCCCTGGAGGGCAGGCCCTACTACGACTTTCGGCCTCTGGCAGAACTACTGAGAAAGTGTGAACTCAAGGTGGTGGATCAGTACATGAATGAAGGAGACTGCCAGATCTTAATTCACCATATTGCCCGGGCTCTCCGAGAGGACCTGGTTGAGCGCATCCGGCAGTCTCCCTTCCTCAGCATCATTCTGGATGGGCAGAGCGATGACTTGCTTGCAGATACAGTTGCAGTCTATGTGCAGTACACCAGCAGTGATGGGCCTCCAGCAACTGAATTCCTGTCTCTTCAGGAGCTTGGCTTTTCTACAACAGACAGTTACCTTCAGGCATTAGACCGGGCTTTTTCCAGCCTGGGAATACGACTGCAGGATGAAAAGCCAACTATCGGCTTGGGAGTTGATGGTGCTAACATTACCGCCAGCCTGAGAGCCAACTTGTTCATGACAATCAGAAAGACCTTGCCCTGGCTCCTCTGCCTTCCCTTTATGGTGCATAGGCCCCACTTGGAAATTTTGGATGCCATTAGTGGGAAGGAGCTACCATGTCTGGAGGAGCTAGAAAACAATTTGAAGCAACTGCTCAGTTTCTATCGTTATTCTCCCCGACTCATGTGTGAGTTAAGGGTCACTGCTGCCACTCTGTGTGAGGAGACTGAGTTCCTGGGGGACATTCGAGCAGTGAAGTGGATCATTGGGGAGCAGAACGTGCTCAACGCTCTCATCAAGGATTACCTTGAGGTTGTAGCCCATCTCAAAGATGTCAGTGGCCAGACCCAAAGGGCAGATGCTTCTGCCATTGCCTTGGCCCTCCTGCAGTTCCTGATGGACTACCAGTCAATTAAACTCATCTACTTCCTGCTGGATGTGATTGCTGTGCTTTCACGCCTTGCCTATGTCTTCCAAGGGGAGTACCTTCTTGTGTCGCAAGTGGACGATAAAATAGAGGAGGCCATCCAGGAGATCAGCCGGCTAGCAGACTCCCCTGGGGAGTACTTGCAGGAGTTTGAGGAAAACTTCCGTGAAAGCTTTAATGGCATTGCTGTGAAAAATCTACGGGTGGCTGAAGCCAAATTCCAGTCGATCAGAGAAAAGATCTGCCAGAAGACCCAGGTGATCCTAGCCCAAAGGTTTGATTCCCGCAGCCGGACATTTGTGAAGGCCTGTCAGGTATTTGACCTTGCAGCTTGGCCCAGAAGCACTGATGAGCTCATGAGCTATGGGAAGGAGGATATGGTACAAATATTTGAACACCTGGAGACAGTCCCATCATTTTCCAGAGAGGTTTGCCGAGAGGGGATGGACACCCGAGGGAGTCTGCTGATGGAGTGGCGAGAACTCAAGGTGGATTATTATACCAAAAATGGTTTTAAAGACTTGCTCAGTCACATTTGTAAATACAAACAGAGATTTCCCCTCCTAAATAAAATAGTTCAGATCCTCAAAGTCCTTCCCACCTCTTCGGCCTGCTGTGAGAAGGGGCGCACCGCCCTGCAGAGAGTGCGCAAGAACAACCGCTCTCGGCTCACGCTGGAGCAGCTCAGTGACCTGTTGACGATTGCTGTTAACGGGCCGCCCATTGCCAACTTCGATTGCAAAAGGGCACTCGATAGCTGGTTCGAGGAGAAGTCAGGCAATAGTTACGCGCTCTCGGCCGAAATGCTGAGCAGGATGTCATCTCTTGACCAGAAGCCGATGTTGCAGAGCATGGACCATGGCTCTGAGTTTTACCCTGATATTTAGGAAGGAATGCCTCAGATCAGATAATTTTTTTAATCTATACTCTAAACTTTGATATATTATATAAAATATATATATTATCTATATTAAGGAAAAACCCACACTGAAAATTTAAGACTATGTGCATCTGATAGAAGCTAAGCAGAATTTTAAAGATTGAGACAATGTTTAGACATTTACTGGTGTCTCCAACCATGGCAGCTGCAATGTAGGTGGCAACATTTCATTCTTTAGAAGCATGTGCTGGGGCCATACTCTACATGTTCAAACCTAACAACCTATAAGCTAGACAACGGGTCTTTGTCAGCCTCATCCTCCCAGCGGTTTCCTTTGTATGTGTGTTGTCAGTTTGCTGGGTTGTTTTTTGTTTTGTTTTGTTTCATTTTGGGGTTGATTGTTTGTTTGTTTGTTTTCCCTTCGGTTTCAATCTCTGCCTCTCTTTCCATTGTTCAGCCCAGTTATTGAGCCATTTGAGCCTTTTGTTGGCGACCATTAGATTTCTGATTTCTGACAGAGCATCCCGTGTGTTTTGTTGCCCCCAGCTCCACCCAGTTCTCTTCAGTTGAGTGGAAGCTTTCTTCACTCAAAAAATTACTGACAGGAGAGGAGGGCTGGGGGCATTATTTTGGGTTTTTATTCTGATTTAGAAACAAATGCCTCCACTATACTGTGATTACTCTTTCTCAGTTCTCCCTACCTTTGGGCTGTAGAGTAATACTTGGCTTTCAGCTCCTTTTATGATAACCGTAGTACAAGTCTATCATACATATGTTATAACATGATGTCATGTGCAGACTATAAAATAGCAAAATAGAGAAGGCAGGGGGAAATTTTTGCATTTATATTTTTATATTGTATGAGATAAATATATATATATATATATACAACTATTCATTCAAAACCAGGGCTGCTGTGGAAGCTAGACAGCCAATGAGTCGAGAGCCACCTCTGGGCGGAGATTCAAAGGCTTAAAAAATTATATTCTAATTTACATTATTTATACCATGTCTTTATAATCCTAGATTGTTGTGGGGTTTTTGTTTTGTTTTGTTTTGTTTTGTTTGGAATGACTGAAAGAAAAACCTGCTGCAGTTTGGTGGCAGGAGCTATCAATGCAAGTTTATCTTGGATTATATTCATGTGTGATGTCCTACAAAGGTTCACTTACTCTCTTGTGACCAAGGTAACATGTTCCACAGCACAGCAGACTGATGACAGCAGAAAGAAGGGATGCTCTGCTTCTTCCTGCAAAATATTTCTTCCTTTCTTGAAGGAATGCAGAGTCCAGCTGAAATGTGAGTGGGGGACTTGCACCTTCCATCACAAAGAGATTGTTTTGTGGGCTTGGGGCTCTTCTTTGTTTTATTCTTTTAAAGTAAACAAGCTCCATCCACACAATATCACTTCAGGTTAAAAAAGAGAAAAAAAAAAAAAAACAAACCCCCAACCAACCAAAAAAACCACACAAACAAAAAAGGTGCAAAAACTCCACAGATGCTAGTGCCTTGCCCTGCTGATGTGGCATGGACAGCACCAACCTGACCAGACCATCGTGGGAGTGAGACGTGTTGTACAAAAGGTGTCCAAGCCAACATGTTCTCACTTCCCAGAGGGATGAGCTTTGTGCCAAGCTGTGTTGTTTGGAAACATGATGGTGGTATCAGCAACACTGAACCTTTCCTTTCTCCTGTTACCCCCCTGCCCTTGGTCTTGGTGCTATGATATCTCTAGAACCGTTGCTGCTAGTTAATAGCTTTTCATTTATATAAATATATATATATATATAATATTATTTTATTTTTTAAACTTTTTTGTTTGTTTTCAATGGAGATGTAGCATGTTTGGAACTGATCTCTCTCTGAGTCACTTTCACTGCCAGGGTTCACGCACTGTCTTCCCCAGGAAAACACACACTTCTACCTAGGTCTCACTCACCTCCTGCTAACCCCTTTGCCTTCAGCAGAACTTCACAGCCAGCACTGGCAGAGGTGTGCAGCCAAGCCACTATGGACTGGTTCAACTTTCAGACCACACAGGAGCAGCTAGGCTGGTGTTTGTCAGGGTTTTGGAAGTGCTTGCCTCTGTCCCTGTGGGACTGAGGAGGGACTGAGCCCACCCAAAGCACGAGTGGTGGCCTGTCCTTGTGTCCTGACACTGCCCCTTCGCTGTAAAACAGGGCCTTCCAGTCAGATGGTCCAAGGGGAGCAGAGTGGACCCTGTGAATGTAGCAGTGAGGGCTGGTCAGCACCCTCTGTAGCACTCACCCCTTGCCTTACCTCTGACAGCACGTGCAGCCTGAGGCTGGCTGGGGCAGGAGAGGGCACCTGTGCCAGGGCCACCCAGCTGCTGCCAAACTGCCACCAGGGGTGCAGGCGCTGGGTGCTCTTCCTTGTGGTCCTCATGGAAATGTCACAAGCTAGATCAGGGCATCACACAGTTGCAACACAGGGGCATTGATATGACACATTTAGGAAGCATGAAAAATGGCATTGTTTTCATGTTTTCCTGCATTTTCTTACAAATTATATGATCGAGTTGATCCATTCATCCAGAGGAGCGAAAATTAAACTGGAAACCCCCTGCTAGCTGTACAGCCTTGGGTGGTTGTTTGCCTGACCGAAGAGTAGGGACCTCTCCACACAAGGTGCTCGTAGCTCTCCAGGCGTGGTTTGAATTGGCTCTGCTCAGGGTGCTGCCACAAAGCTCTGGAGCTGCTGCCTGCCAGAGAGGTGGCAGGCTCCCTTCCTTTTTAAAACTTGAGATGTAAAAAGATAAAAAAGACAGAAAAACTGCTGCTCCATTAGTTTCTGACTGGAGATGGGTAAGGTGAACATAGATCACAGAATCCATAGAACTCCATAGCTTTTCATGGGTGGAGAGGAAAAATCACCTGCCTTTCCATTTGCAACAGCAAAAGCTTCTTGGCACAGAGGCCCATCAAAGTGCCTGGCCCACATGGAGGGAAGGAACATTTGGAGACAGTCTCCGAAGACTTTTGGAGAGAGGAATGCTCCTCCAGGGCTTGTGTCGAGCAGCCCAAGCAGCCTGTTTACAGCTCTCGATCAAAGCCTCATAACTTTTACTACTGGGGAGGAAATGGCAAGGTGAGAGTTGCCAGTGGCCTGTTCAGAAATTATTCTTCCAATTTGTCACTCCTTCCCTTTGGTTCACTTGCAAATCCTGCTTTCATCAGTGACACCTTTCACTGGCAGCTTTTCTTTCTAATGGTGCAGTGAAATGTGCAGCATATGGTGATATTCTCTGGCAGCCAGCTGACACAGGCAGAGCGCTTGTTCCTTTAGCAAATAACTTTTGCTTTCAAACAGTGATTCCCTGCCACTGGATGTTGTGGATACCCGTGATAGGAAAGGTCAGAGACTCCTTAGATTGGTGTTGAGGATAGACAAGAGCTTCATAGAGCAGCTGGCCCAGCCCAGCCTATCCCAGCTCCTCCAACACAATTCCCTGTTAGCTGCACATCAGAAAATAAACCTGACCTTTGTCCTAGGGTAATGCAGGTGCTTTGCAAGCTTTCTCTCCAGGTTAACCTGCCTATCTCAGATTTGTAGCTCTTACTTTCGTGGATAGTCTGTGGATGGAAACATGGCTATCAGCAAAGACAAGAAGATAGGGAGGAGGGAGGAATATCAATGCAAAGCACCCTGGCTTCCTAGGGCTCCCAAGCCTTTCCCAGAAGCAGGTGCATCTCTGTGCCCTGTTTGTCTGGGCCCAGCCTGGTGGCAGTGAGGCCAGGAGGCAGCAGCAGGCGTGGGGAGAGCTTAGCAGGGTGCTGAAGGAGGCCTGTGTGGCTCCAAGTTTGCCATGCATCAGGTTTAATCAATGCCTTTCCTGCTGTGCTGAGAGAGTGAGAGGAGCTGTTTTGAATGTGTTGCCCACAGCATCTTGAACTGGTTAGGCTACAAAGACAGAGGATTCAGTTTTTCTTGAATGAGCTCTTTATTGTCTCCTTCCCCTGCATCTTAGCTATGGCATCTGACTGTGAACAATGCACACTTCTCCAGACCCTTGGGTTTGTATTTCTAGCCCATGGGATTTTTGATTGCCAATTTCCCTTCCCCACTTTTTGCTCAGGCTCCTTGCCTCTTTTACCCTGCTGTGAAGCAGAAATCTGTGAAGCACATTTAGACATGTCCTTCTGCAGGGCTCACCCCTGTCCACGGGGGTCCGGGCCCTCCAGCCACGAGACTGACCTCAGCAGGGATAACCCTCACAAGAAACCAAAGCTCTTCCCCTACCAGCAAAAGCACACGGAAGTCACGGGGGCTGCGAGGGGACACGGTGGACAGGGTCCTCATGTGGTGTCTGCCTTGGGTCTTGAGCCAGTTGCAGCCATGTCCCCCGTACTGGTGACGGTTTTGCTGGTATGACTGTTCAGACATGATTCAGGCTCGGTCCATCTCTTTCTCACAGCACAAACTCAGCCAGATGGCCCGCGGGGTCTTTGGAGTCCCCCTCCTTTCTTAGCTCATGAGGATTGCTGCTTGTTTGACCAGTGCCTAGACAGCTGGCTTGCAAATAAGCAGCAACAGCCTCTGCTTTTGCAGATTCCCCTTTCACCCCTGTTAAAAGAGGTCTTAAAAGCAGAGAAATGGTACGTTAATCCCCCAGCCATTGTATCCAATGCAGTAATGCCTATGCAATTCCTGTCTCCCTTGGAGACATGTATGATGTGTGTGCATGTAAGCTAGTGTATGTATACAGTACATATGCATATGGTCTATATATTGTATATACGCACATCCCAGTACATATACACACAGTACAAAAGATTAAAATCACATGCTTATATATCTATAAATGAAATCCTATATATTTATATATTTCTATGTTTTCGATAGATATAAAGATATAATATAGAGATAGACTCAACCACCCTTGTGTAAGGCTGGGCCTGTGTTCTAGCACAAGGCACGTAACACTGAAGACTTTGGACTTTGGGATGGTTTTAGCCATACACTGAGGCCTACATTTACATGTATAGCACTCTATGGAGAGGGGTTTGGCTATGTTTAGGGCAAGGGGTTTCCTTGCTGGCATGGTAACTAAGTGATAAATAAGGTTGGTTTAATAATGGAATGTCTTGGTAGGGGAAAATGCTTGGCTTGAGTTGTGTCCTTCCAAGAAAGCTTCTTGCTGAGAGTCTGTGTGTTCACACTTGGACAGACACATATCCACCCTCATATGCACTTTTGTCTCTCTGCATGGATGTGGTTGGCAACTGCAGGCACCGGTGCTGTGGAAACGTGGCTTTTTGCAGTTCCACCTGGCATTCCTCAGCAGTTGCCAGCACACTGCCAGGGAGACCCTACGCTGGCCAGTGCTCACGTGGCACCAGCGAGAGCATGGGTGCACTTGTGGGCATCAGTCAGCGACACAGTCGTGGCTCTGGGATAAAGGCAGCAGGAGAGCCAAGGCAGTTTTGAGCAGAGGAAGGGATACAGCCATGCAGTTGAAGCTGGCAGGGATAGTGTATGGAGCTGGAACAGTGCAAATGGGAAGGAACTGTGAAGTCAGAGCGATAGGGATGAGAGTGCGCGATCCCAATTGGGAAGGCGTGCTCAGCTGTGTTGGGTCAGGCTGGCCACTGTTCTGCTGCAGGAGCCACTCCAGTCCCTCAGGTCTCACAGCCACTCCTCAGCCCATGAGCAGCCTGCCTGGCCAGGGGCCCAGGGAGGCTTTCTGGAGGAAAGGGAATGATGTGATTGTATGGAAGACATGGTCAGTGTCGCACGTGTGCCTTTGGGCCCCAGCACACAGCGTTCGGACCTTGCCAGGCTGAAGCACCAAAGGGTGCAGCCCTCTTATCCTGCTCGTGCAGAGACAGCTGCTTTCCCATGACCAGCATTTCCGTGCTGGGATAGGGGTGGATCAGCCCTCCCTGAATATCTGCTGATGCCTGTGGGATGGGCAGCTGTCTCACCCCTCCACCCCTCCCTTCACGCAGCCATTCGTAGGACACTGGCCCTGCTGCATCCTGAAGCCTTTGGCTGACACCTGAGAGGACCTGAGAGGTGCCTCTGGCCAGTCTGGCAGCAGGTGGTCAGTCAGCAAGCTGCTTCCCCACAAGGGTTGGAGGGAGAGCATGGAGGTTTGCCTTTGCAGCTCTGCGCCAGGCCCGGCAACCACTGCACTCCTTGCTGTTTGTTTTATTTGTTGGCTTTGGTCGGGAGGAGGGTGAGTTGTAATTCCGACATCCGAATGGATCGTTACACTGGTTTTGCATGAGCAAACGCTGTGCAAGCTGTCCCCAAGCCCCGTCACACACCTCAGTGCCCTCTCCCAGGCCTCTCTCCTCCACACAACTGGTAATCCACCTCAGCCGCCCCTGCCCGGCGGTGGCTCCCCGCTCTGCCGCAGCCCCTCAGCGGTGGGGAGCTCTCAGCACCTGTTCCTCACAAACCTCAGAGACAGTTTTCTCACTCCAGCCCCCTCCTTCCGAAGCCACTGACACCCGCGCCAGCCCAGCCCGCGGCCTCGCCTCCCACCCGCGCGGCGAGGGGCTCCCGTGCACCGCACCTCATGTCGAATAAGCTCGCTGGGCTACGCGGGAACCACGTCTCATATGCTGTAATGTCCCAAATGCTACAGGAGGGCTACGGAGTTTTCTGCCAGTCATGGCATCCTCATAGACTCACCTGACAGTTAGCAAAAATGCATTTCTACTTCCAGAAAACGAGGTTTTGTCTCAAACCTCTCCTTATCCACATCCAAGCACAGCCCTGCTGAACTGTTTCAAGCGATCTCTCACCCACCCACTCACCCACCACACACACACACACACATATGAAATGAGAGAAAAATATCTAGACGTCTATTACTATATATGTATTAATATGTTAATATCACTCTTTTGGAGACATTAAAATGTTATTACTTTACAGACTATGCTTTATAGTACCTGTGTGAAAGGACCTAGGACACTGGATACGAATAGAGCTATGTTGATATATCATGGTATGTACACAAGAACTTTCCTTTTGTCATATTATCCTTGTAATGTAAAATGATTGTTAATAAAAAAAAACATTTAAATTTATCTAGTTGAGTTGCTAATTTTTTAAATTGTTCTTGGAGGTTAATGTCATTTTGCCAGAGGAAGGGCATCTAAGCTGATGCACTCCTGTTCCCCTCAGCCCAGGACTATTAAAGAGCAGATCCAGTGCTGATTAATCCAGAAGGGTCAGCTGCAGCCCCCTGAGGTGCTGGTAGTTCTCCCTCCTGAGTGACTGGCTCCTGACATACCAGTGCCACTGCAGCCCCTTGAAGTCCTCACCTTGGTGAGCAGGTTCAGCATGTCCTGTGATGGAGCTGCCTTGTTTCCCCTTGGGCTGGGTTATCCCAGTGCTGTGCCAAGGCTGCAGCAGGCAGACCAGGAGCTGGCACCTCCCAGCAGCCCAGGGCTGCTCTGGGTCAGCACTGGCAGCGACATCAGCACATGCTATTTTTGGGTAGGGATGCACAGTGGTTGCCCTTGAGGCTCTGCACACCCTTTCTAGTCAGGTACAGTGGCATTGCCTTTAGCTTTGCTGGGATGGGCTTGTAATGTGGATTGACAAAGCTGTACATATATGTCTCTTTTGGTTTGAAGGATGGGGAGACTTTTTGTGGGCTCTGAATGCTCTAAATCCAGGGGAAGCTGGGCTATTTCTATCCTTAAAAGAAAGGGCTGACTTAACTTTGGATTTTTTTTGTTTTGTTTTTGACACTGGGCTCACAGTTGCTTAAAAGTGCAACTTTTAAAACAGTTCAATGTATTAAGAGGTTTCTTTGTACATGGAGGGTCTTACATCTGCTAAATCATTGTGGGCAAGAGAGCCAATGTCTGAAATAAGTACATGTGTCCATGGATTAGCCCTGGGCTGTGGGTTGTGTTTGCTGTCCAAACAGCTGAAAACATTGCCTTATGGGCTGAGTCTGGCTGCTGCTGTGGATACACCTTGTGACAAAGGCACCGCAGGGACTATGGGTCATCCTTCCTTCACCGAGGCTCAGGTTTGCATGGCAGTGCAAGCAGGGAGAACCTTGCAAAGGTTTAGTCCATCCCTGGGTGACAGCTAGAGAGAAACATGGGCAGCAAACAAAGCCCTTCCAGCACAAACAGTTGCTCACTCAGATGTAAATGTGTCCATGTGGCAGTGGAGGGAAGCAGAAAACAAGGAGCAGGCTGTGCAGCTGAGGGTGCAGATCCTGGGTGTGGCACTGCATACTGTGAGTGTTGATACTGATAGTATTGCTGAGCTTCAGTATGTAGGGATGGAAGCATCAACAGAATGGGCTCTTTAATCCTGTCTGAAGGAATCTGGTTTTCCAATTGGCCCAGGGGGAGTGTGCATGTAGACCCATCAATCCCCACAGGTGAAGAGCCTGTGCAGAAATTTTGGGTTCAGAGTGAATGCCTCCAAATTTTAATGGAGAGTAGCCACTGGGGCTGGAAGTGAGTGGCAGTTTCTTGGCTGAGAAGTGAAAATAGCCCCAAATTAGTCATCCAATAGGTCTAATAGGAAAGGTTGTTTTAGTGATTTCCTCAAAGTCCACTTTATTGAGCAGACCACATATTACATGCAATTCGTCATTTTCTGGCAGCTTTCACTGTAGTGATTTAAAATTGCTTATTTTTGAGCAGTAAGAAAGCCCAGTGAAATCCTGGTGGTTGTTGGTGTTTAGCTTCAGCTGGGTTTCCTGGGCACCTGTCAGTCAGCAGTGAAAACCTTATCTCTAGGGCTTTTGCCTTTGCTAGTCAATTGACAGCATGAAGGCAGGACAATACTTCACTTTCAGCAGCTCAACCATGTGTAAAGAGTCAGAGCTGCTTGTGAAATGCATTGCTGCATTGTATTTCCTACAGGCAATTTTGTGCTGTGGACTCTAGCTAGTCACCCTTGGCAGTGATCGGCCTCCTTGCTGGTAACTTCAAACCAAGGACTTAAAAGCAAGATCCCTTCAAGCAAAGTGCACTATCTGAGCTTTTATCAGGAATGGAAGCTTGCACAAAATTCATCTGATCTAGGGCTAAAGGTGCCCTTCACTTTTAGGACCAGTGATTCTCATGTCAATATGAGTGAAAAGGAAATTGAAAAATTCCTCGGCAATGGTTGTCATAGCATTAAAGCCTGCCACGCACTTCCTCAGCTCTGCTGGTGTCCTGGATGTGCTCCATGGAGTTGACTGTTATTAGCAGCTGGTGCTAGAAATTTCATTTAGCAAAAAACTGAACATGTTTCTTCCTGGAAGCAGGAGGTGTGGAGCCTATGATGCCAAGAGTGGGTTTGCAGCACTTCCTGGGCTCCATCTTCCCTATCTTACTGTCTTGAGGCAGAAGGAAAAGCACAGGCAACCGAGCACAGGGGTGGATTTAAACAGGTGGCCCCCAAGATGTTTAAATCAGAGGCTAGAGGCAGATATCTGGGCAGTGCCAGGCCCAGCTCTGCACAGGGGACCAGAGGCTGTTTCTGGCAGAGCTGTCGCCATACGCCACACAAATGGAGCCACAGCTCATTTACAAAGGGCTCTAAAAATATCTGCTGGATAATCAAAGGCTCCCACAGCACAGCATATGTGCTAGCTAGACTTTTTGACTCTCTGAAGTCCTCTGTTTGAAGTTGTTTTGATCAAGGAGAAAAACAAGTGTGCTGTCTGCATGGCTGCCAGACACCCTGTTTCTGGGGACACTGGTGGTACCTCTGGCGGCACTCAGGGGTGGGATGGGGAATCATGTGCAGCAGAGTGCCAGGAGTGGCAGAGCTGCACTCCAGGCCACTGCTGCACTTTGTTGGTGTCCAGGAGAGCTGTCTGGAGAACTGGGTATTGTGTTGGTTTTAGGTGTGACCTATTTTCTCAGGGGCATCTTGGAGCCCTGTCCTTGCTGGGTTTATTCCACATTCAGTGATCACTAAGGGTTTAGGGAAGTGGAGGAACTGGCTGCAGACCTTCAGAACTAGCAGTGGCGATACTGTGATATAGCTGCTGGATTAGGTGCTACTCTCTCTTGGCAGACAGAGGATTACAGGACAATCCCAGTTTAATTTTTAAATACCGTGGGGGAAAAAGGCGTCTAATAAATCTGAAGTGACAATGAACAGCAGGGTTAAGAGAAGAATGGTTCTGCGGCAGTTATTGCTGCTTTTCAATATGGTGAGCTGGGAATTACTGAGTAGCCCTGTGCAAATCCCCCAGGGTGGGAAGGATTGTCCCTGGCAGATGCACCACCCATGTTCAGCTCACTATGCAGCAAAAATGCGCTTTTTCCTTCCTCTCTACAGTAGATTCTTCAGTGCCATCTGCCTCGCTGTGCAGCTGACAGGCACCCCTCTTTGCAAAGCTAGCAACAGCCTGGGGCTCTGCAGACTGGCTTTGTTTTCTCTCCTTGTGCTTTAACGCTGACTATGATGGGTGAGTGCCCCCAAACTGTCAGTGAGGTAAATACTTCCCACTCCTGCTCCAAAAATCTCTTTTCTTTTACTTTTATGTGCAGGTTTTGATCTGTGTATCTTGTTAGGAACCAGCTAATTCTGGTGATGGTATTAGGTCAGCCAAGCATGTTTTCCTCCTTATGAATGCATGGTTTATAGAGTATCATCAACACCAACTTGAAAGTACTGAGACTGGCAAAAAACAAAATAATAATTAAAAAACCCCTCTAAATTAACTTCTTAGATTTGTTTCAGAGATGGAGCCAGTATCTGGGAAGAAACTGGTCCCCAGATCCCATTCTCTAATCTCCTTGTAGCTCCTTTAGAGCTTTGTTTAGCTGCCACCTTTCTGAAAAAGCCAACAGATTTCTTGTGCTTGCTCAGGACAGGCTTCTATTGCTGACTCCTCCTCTCCTCATTGTACACCCATCCTTTGATGACACCCTTCAGAGGACCTCCTGTTGACTCATGCTAGCACTCTGTGCCCCTGACATGAGCTGCAAGCAGAGGGGACTTACTGTAGAGTAAACAATGCAGACACAGCATTGGTACAGCTTGGAATTATTTACTTGCAGTGTTTTACATGTTGTGCTGTAATATTAGACACAATGGCTGAGCGTCATGCTCTGTTTTTGTGCCTTGGATTGTGAGAACAATATCGAGTCTTGACAAACAATATCTGGCTTTGTACAATAAACACACTGGGACACCAAAGGACCAAGTAAGCAGAAAAGCCCCCTCATGCTGGAAGGCCACAAATCACTATTTCACTTTGCTATTTTTCTTGTTCATATTGAAAACAGAAGAAATAATATTAAGTGTTGAGTGTTACTATTTTCTCATCATGCTTCTTTCAACAAATTGACAAAATACATTTTAACACTTAGTTAAATTCTGAAACACATAAAAATGCTGTCAAAGGTCTGTCCTTCAATCAGACTTCAAACTGACTATCAAAAGAGTGCAAGAAGCATGGTCCAAGCCACTTTAGCTTCCAGTTCATATTAAATCTTATTGTAGTCAACTCATCTTAGACATTAGGAAAATTTGGGCAAACCTTGGACTGTAATTCTAGGCCCCAAATGACAACCTACTTCATTTTGGTGCGGGGGGGAAGAGTGGTTTTGAACACTACTGCCAGATAATACTGAAGACAGATGCTAGCAAATACAAGGTACAGCTGTTCAAGGTATTGAAAGCCTATCAAAACCTGGGAAAATAGTTGAGCCTGAAAATTTTCCCAGTCCTGCTGAAAGGAATTTTCCATTACTTTCTGATGTATTACCTTTGCAAAGCAAACATGTTTCTTATTAGCATGCAAGGCTATTTGGAATAACAACTGAGGGGAAAACCCTGCACTGAAAAAATATAACCCTTACAGGGCACCAGCTGTAACCACTCCCCTTACAACTGGGGAAGGGTGCTGAGGGTAGTAATGAGTCTAAAACATCCCAGATATTTTAGTGACTATTGATGATTTGTGCTTATCAATCCTTCTACTGTAGGACAAATTGCTTAAAATCAAACTAGATCATTTTTGGGAAGGAAGATCTAGCTCTGAGGGCAGGTTGAGGCAAAACAACAGATGGCTACAGTCTATATTTTAACAAAGGAACTCAATGTAGTCACAAGTCATTTCCTCTGGCCTCAGCCCCCCCTGAGCAGAGGCCACCTCAGGAGGCCACCTTTCCCAGGCAAAGCTGGGTAATATAAGGGAGCTGCGTTTCTCAGGCTTTTTTACAGTAATCTGGTTGTTTGTGCTTTGTCACTGGATGAGGGACTGTGAATCCCTGTCCTTAAACTCACAATTCTGGCCTTTAGTGAAAAGGGTCATTCATTCTGACCAGGTAGATTGCCTCACACCATCTTTTTTTTTTTCCTCCTTCGTTATTCCCTACAGTCTTTTGGCTTACAGCTTCTTCATATTAATGCTTATAGCAGGCAAAATAATCAGTTCAGCCACTAACTAGCCACTGGGGACTCTTGTGGCTGCTTTTGGTCACACATATGTCTTAGGAACATTAATTGCCATAGCTGAGGTTTTTTTGCTTCTTCTCATACAATGCAATTTACAAGCAGCATCCTTTAATTTAATACACAGTGGTGCTTGCTGTTGCTCCTGCATTTTCAGCTTCAGGAGATGAAAAACAAGGGCCTGTCTGGTTCTGTCCTTATTGCACTTCAGTGATACTTTGACAGCTCAAGTTGCTGAAGCTGCTTGATGCAATGGCATTTCCAAATACTTCAGACTTATCCTCATGACTTTGTCACCTACCACAACCATTCGCAGCCCTTTGGCTGCTGGGACAGTTCAGCACCTCGGGGTGCTGAGGCTCAGGGGCACCCAGGCCCTGCTGCACAGGCTGTTCGGAGGGGTGAGGGCAGGGCCTGGGCAGACGCTGGAATGCGATGGGTGACACACAGCTCCTGTTAGCAGAGCTCAAAAGGCCGGTCTGTCCCTGCCCCTCGGGTACCACACGCACACAGCATTCCTGGTCCCCGGTACGTGCCCGCTGTCAGCCCCGGCCAGCGGCCGCCTCCTCCCAGGCACTCCTGGCAGCCTTTGTTCGGCTGTGCTGATGGCGAGGAGCATTCCTTGCAGGCTAAAATGCCAGACAACAAGAATGATCCATCCGGGGAAGATGTATGCATTTTCACTCTTTCTCTCTTTCCCATTAAATCCCACTGCAGCGAAGGAGGAAACAATGCCGTTCATTAACACTGATGGCACCACTTTGCTCCTTAGACGCATTCGTGGCTAAGTAGTGTGTATACACATATTTGTCTGCTGGAAAAGAGGACATTGTTTTGCCAGAGCTAAGTCAGACTCTGAGGATCTGTGCTTTTAAATGCCCTAGGACCGACTGATATCTATTAGAGGGTGTGCCAGAATCACCAGGGCACGGCAGATAATGCTCATATAATCACTCATCAAGATGTTATAAAAGGCTCAGTTTCTGAGGATCTGTGCTTTTAAATGCCATAGGACCGATTGATATCTATTAGAGAGTGTGCCAGAATCACCAGGGCACAGGCAGATAATGCTCATATAATCACTCATCAAGATGTTATAAAAGGCTCAGTGAAACAAGCAGGATGCAGAACTAGAGGAGTTGGCAGCAAGGCAAATATTTGGTCCTTCAGGCTTTCCACTGTCAGCCAAATGGCATCATTATGTGAAGCTATTCTTCTGATCATTATCCTCCAAAAAATCACTGTGCTGCCTGGAACCTATATGTGAATTAGGCCAACATTCCAATAATTTCTGCACTTATATGGAAATGATTACTCCAGACATATAGGTACAACTACAGGCAAATCAGAATCACAGTAAGCATTAAGAATTCACTATCAAGTAGACCCCTGTGTCCAGTTACTCACAGTATCCTACAGCTTTTTGTTAGTAAACAAAACCCTGTACAAGAAGAGCAAAACAAGAAACCAATTTTTTTTTTGTTTGCATGCCCTCTAGCCAATAGATCAATATCAGAGATTAAAATATTGGGTGTAAGGTTCATGGGCATACTTAGCTTTTCTGTCTGTCTGGTTGCTCAAAGATGATTTTATTGCTCTCTTCAAAATGATGCTGTAATTCCTGGCTACACCACCCACAAAAGAAATAGTAGTGTAAAGATAAGAGTTTTCAGTACGCATCAACCTTGTCAGTTTCTTCACAGAATCGTAGCATTGCTGAGGATATAAAGGGCCTCTGGAGATCATATTGTCCAAACTCACCCCTGCTCAAAGTGGGATAAACTAGAGAAGGTTGTTCATGCTGTATTTCATCAAATTTTCACTGTCTCCAAGCGTGGGGACCCTCAACAACCTCTTCTGCCAACTTGTTCTAGTATTTGATTGTATTCACAGTAAAAAAAAGGTGTTTATTCTTGGTATTTTTCATGTGTTCAAATGGAATTACCTACATTGCAACTTGTGACCTTGACTCTTGTCTTGTCACTGGACACCAGTGAAAAGTGTCTCCATCTTCTTTTGTCCTCTCCCAGGTCAGGTATCTGTACATATTGATGTAAACAATTCCAGCTCTCTCAGACTCTCCTCTTACAGAAGATGCACCAGTCCCTTAAACATCTTCATGGCCATTTGCTGCACTCTTTCCAGAATCTCCATATCTTTCTTGCCCTGGGGAGTCCAGCAACAGACACAGCATTCCAGAAGTGTCCTCACTGGTACTGAGTTGAAAGGAAGGATTCCCCTCCTTTGACCTGCTGGCATTGCTTAACGCAGCACGAGGCACTGTTGTCCTTCTCTGCTGCAAGACCACACTGCTGGCTCATGTTCAACTTGGTGCCCACCAGGACACCCAGGTCCTTTTCTGGAAAGCTCCTTTACAGATTGTCAGCCTTCACCCCTGCACTGCAAGGCGTTGTTCTTCCTCAGGTGCCACTTCTCCTTGTTGAATTTCAGGAGGTTCCTGTTAGCCCAGCATTTCTCCAGCATTTCTGTCAGCATCCCTCTGAATGTCAGCACAACTGCCTTGTGTATCAATCACTACTCCAAGCTTAGCTTCATCTACAAACCTGCAGAGGCCCTGCTCAAGGTCATTTATGAAAGTGCTAAACTCTGTCAGCCTCACAACCAGCCCCAGTCACCACTAGTTACTGACTTCCAGCTGAACTTCATTTCCCAGTTCATGACCATTATGGTGGTGCTTCAGCCAGTTTTCAGACACTGGTTCTGTTGTTTTCTCTTTGCCAACAGAATGGCAGCCTTCCCTTGACAAGCTGCTAGACTTATTTGACTGCACCATCAAAATGGGATGGATACTAGTTAAAACTTAGCTTAATGTTTTGATTTGAACAAGAAGCAATCTGACCTTGCAAAAATTAAAATCTGAGATTTTCAGGGCTACAAATTATATGGTTCTGTTTCCAGATTTTTGGATGCCTTGTCCCCATGGAAGTCCCTTAAAATCGTGTCTACTACTTAAAAAAAAAAAAAGTAGTAGGACAAGCAGTGTGCTTACAGGGTCATGACATTATCACTGCCAATGCCAGACTTTCAGTCCATCTAGAGACACAAAAAACCCAACAGTTAAAAGTAACATTTAAGCCACATCAAATCTTGAAAGTGCACACAAAAACAAGCCCTGGAGAGTCTGTCTAGTTGGTGAATTCCTTCTGTCTGGAAATGATGAAATACATGGTAGTTAATAAGGGCTGTCTTTGAATAATGCTGGTATGAGGATTTAAGTGCAATAGTTAACTGTCAAACCAGAACCATCAGCTGCTAAAGTATGGAATGATCCCACTTCTTTTGCCTAATTTTAGATGTTGTCTGGAATATAATTAGCATATTTGAAACTTGGGATAAACCCAAACAGAAAATATGGCAGTAAACAGAAAGGTTTGGTCCAAGTTTTAGGAGGTAAAATCAACAATAACTTTTTGTCCATATTTAGGATTTTCCTGGATGACATCATAGAAAGACAAATGGTACAGGTATTCTGCTAAACTAAACATTCATATTTTCAGCAGTTTTCATGAACCTTAAATACAAGGTATCAAACTCTCCAGGAAACAAAAGTAAAGGAAGGTAATTGACTTCTTGCTCGGCAGTGTTTGCTTCAAAGGCTACACAGGATGAGGGTATTGACTGTCTCTCCCTTTCTTCTTCCTCTGTTCTCTCCCTTCATTCTGTATATTTTTCTAGGTATCCATTTACTGCACTTTGGCTTCACTCTCCTTCTCATACTGCTTCTTTGTGCCTGCCATGACAGTCACTTTTCTGATCTTCATTTCTCAGTCTTGTGGAGTATTATGAAAAGCAGTGATTGATAAAACAGTTGCGTGTTTGTGATTATGGAGCCAACGTTTATCAAGGGACTTGGGTGACAGCATTAGATGCCAATAAAGGGCTTATATTTCCATGATAACTTTGCTCTTCTTTCCTCCCCTCTGCTCCTCTACAGAAATGGAGATCTCTCAGAAGAGACAGTGGGCAGGCAAATAAAACTAATTCAAACCATCCAGGCAGCCAACCCCTTGTTTGGGACAACCACTTGATTAGGTGAGAGCCTGTCCTTTAAATACATTTTCACGGCAGTTTCCTGGGCTAGCATGGGCAGGAAGATCAGAGAAGGGTGCTGTAGTAAGAGTGCTGTGCTGAGCAATTTCATGGAGGTGAAGGTGGAAGATGAAATCCAGCTTACTCCACCAGGCTCTGAGGCCTGGTGGGAATCTTGTTGTCAGTAATCACGATGAGCCTACATGTGGAGCTGATGCCACATGGCTATCTGTTTCCTGGGGTTCCTCAGCATTTCTTCCCAGTGGTTTCTCTCTGTTCCTGTGACGTGTAAGCCCAGACTGCACTTGCCAAGCACATGGCTCTGGCCAGCTCCATCCTGGCTCAGCATTTCCAGCTCCACGCTGGAGGCACGCAGGAGCTCATGAGGCACCTCAAACATGATCATCTCATTCCACACAGGGTTGATCTTGTGTTTTGCACGTTTGGTCTGCTTCTTCTTCAGCTTCAGTGACTGATGCCTCAGTGTCACCTTGACAGAAACATCTGTATAAGGAGGGGAGAGATACCCCATGTTAATGAGCATGCAACAAATAGACTAGGCTAGACTAGAATAAAGCTGAGTTAGAGGGGACCCATCAGGATCATGGAGTCCAGCTCCTGGCCCTGCACAGGACACCCCAAAAATCACGCCATGTGCCCAAGAGTGTTGTCCAAATGCTTTTTGAACTCAGTCAGGCTGGTGCTGTGACCAGCCTAAGTCTCCCTTGACTCAGCTTCATGCTGTGTCCTCAGGTCCTGTCCCTGTCCATGAGAGAGAGGAGATCAGTGTCTGCCATTTCACTTCCCCTTGTGAGGATGTTGAAGGCCACAAATAGGGGCTCCCCTCCCTCTTCTCCAGCCTGAACAGAGCAAGTGATCTCAGCCATTCTTTCTAAGGCTTCCACTCCAGGCACTTCACCATCCTTATGGCCATCCTTTGGACACTCTCTAATATCTTAATTTTTTTTTACAATGTGATGCCTGAATCTGCACCCCAAAATGCAAGAGAATTTACACTGGTGACATCAAACTGAGACAGCACAGTAAAAATATTTGTCAGGGGGCATTTGGTTTTCACTTTTTAGAAATTATTCACATCTCTTTGGCTTTCTAAGCCAGGCTTTTTTTTTTCCTGACAGACTTCACCCTTCCCCCTTTCTTTCTAGATTTACATAATAGCAGAAACAATAGTATCTGTTTCTTTGCTATAACACTCACCACTTCCTAGCAGATCTTTCAGCTGCTTGGAATGGAGGTTTTTAGCCTTAATAATCACCACCAGCAGGCGATTGGCTGCTGGCAGGTAGCTAATAGAGAGCAGAACCTCCCCATGGCCCGTGGATGGCTCCTGGAAATGGAGACACAGAAAGGGTTAATTTTTTATATAATCTTGGTCAGAACATTAGGAAAACAACAGCAGAAGACTGATGGGTGGAATGACATAGACCAAACAAGTTGTCTCTCTGTCTTTGTGCAGGAGATCTTTCCAGTTACGCTGGATGAGAATAAACCTGGCAAAGATGTCGGAGGCTCATAAGGCTCCCATAATGTGAGTTACTGAAACCTTATGGCACTGGAAAGTAACTGCTTCCTGACATCAACTTTTAGTGCAATATTTAATCAGAAGAAGATCTGTCACTGACAAACAGTGCAAATAGTCAGGAATTCCTATTTTGAGAGACCACCTAACTGTCCTGTGTTTATGTCCCCTATCCCCTTTAATGCTTTTTGTAATTCAATTTTGGTTCCAGGTTCTCCATTTCCCAGAAGGCTCTGACTGGACTCAGCCTCCAGCCTGCATTGCCCTTCAGGAATGTAGGGCTCCTTGGGAAAGCAGAGATGGTGCTTGGGGCTGAGTCTGACCTGGACCTGGACTACACCTTCCTTGACACCCTATTTGGTATGAGAAAAAACCCAGCCAAGCTGAAATCCTCCACGAGCTGGGCACAGTACATTAGTCTTCCTTCCCACCTGCCTTCCATCAGGACTGTGAGCAGCTTTCCCTGCATCCCCTGTGGGAGACTCCCTTTCCCTTTCCCTTTCCCTTTCCCTTTCCCTTTCCCTTTCCCCTTACTTCCATTTGCCCTGGACAAGCAGCCCCCGGGGGGAAAGCCTAGGGTCACAGTCACACCACCACTGCTCTCCTGTAAAAGAGTAATGCCATTTCCTCTCGGGAGCCAGCAGGGAAGGAGAGAAATCCCCCACCGTTGTGTGCAGAGCCGACAGCCCATGGCAAGGAACAAAAGGGGAGTAGTTATTCTCTCAGTGAGTGGGAGCTTGTGACAGAAATCTGGTTTAGTGTGAGGTTAATGACCCAGAAGAGTCCCCAGAAAGCCAATGCCAATTCAACAGACAGTTCTGGGCTCCTTAGCGTGTTCTACATCCTCGAGGATAGACAGCCCTTCTCTCCAGGCTATTTCTGTGCTCTGCAGTGTCGCTACTAAATGAGCCATAAATATTTCAAATTAAGTTTTCAACCAGTTTCTCAAAACAGGCAAGGACAGGCCGTGTATGCTCTCCATGAGCTGATTGACTCTCCAGAAAACATGGCTGTCATCACTGTCTGGTTCAAATGACTAATTTGTCCTGCACAAATCAGGTGGAAGGGCATTAGCAAGGAAGCCTGAAATTCAATCCCTAGTCAGCCCAAGTAAATCTTTTTTTCATGCACTCAGGTAGTAATGAAGGGCTTGTATGCATTTCACTTATATGAATCCTGTCTTAAATTGAATTGCATCTTATAAAAGCTCACACATAAAAAGAGGCAGTTTCAAATGCCTGTATGCCCACCACAAAAGAATTGTACACTCAGGGACAAACCCAAACACCACCTCAATGCAAACCCAGCGTTTAGGCATGTCATAAGCTGCTTTTGTTTATTTACCCCCACCACATCTCAGCAGGTCCCATTCTATAGCTCTTGGCTAGAATTTGGTTCCTGTAGCTGCAGGCACAGACAGATGCGGTGGAGATTGGGAGGGGGTGGGGCTCTGTAGACGTGCACACACACACAAACACACGCATTGTACTCGGATCACACCTTGTACTCATGACTTTCTAGCTCCTAGTGTGCTGATCAAATTTTTGGCCAGCCTGTATCCACATGAAAACAAAACCTGCAATAGTTGGTCTCTGCTGGAGTTTTGCTTGAACAGACCAAACCAGAGGTACTTTCCCTTCCCCTTCTGGGCTTTGTTTTCTTTGTTTCTTTTTTTCTATTTAGTCCATAACCTACATTTTGTGCTGAAATCCTGCAAATTCATACAACCATCAGAGCTTCAGTCTTTCTTTCTTTCTATGCAAAGTGAATAAAAAGCAACAAGGGGTTATCAATGATTTACGTGCAGGTCACCATGAAATCACAAAAGGGAAGTTGCTATGCAAGGACACACTACCATCAACCCACTATCATTACTGTCATTAGCAAAGCAGTGGGAGGGAAGCAAGACAAGATAAGGCTATCAGTCTCCAGTATCTAGGCTTTGCATTGCTCACAGGACTCAATGAATTCCTGAATGCTAATTGCATTACCTGGTTAGCTGTAAGCTCCACTCTGGGCTCCTTCCCTCCTGTGTGGGAGAATTACTGGGAAGGTAAGAACGAATTTTCTGCCCTTCCCGGCATTTCAAGGAAGTGTCACACTCTTGACAAAGCTCAGTAACTTTCTTCCTGGATGAATGTTGTCAAAAATAGCTCCTCTTTTTTGATCAGCTCTTCCTCACTCCCTCCCTCTGGTTCTCAATGAATGATTCAGGATCTGTATACATAAGCTATCTGTGCAATGGTTGGCTCTCTCAGGTCCCAGATGACGCAAATTCAGCTTTCACTGCACATCCTCAGCTCAAACTGGGGCACTGTTCAGCAGTACTGCTGGTGTTAACCTTGTGCTGTCAGCCTGGAGAAGAAATGAATGCTGTCCTGTTTCTGTGTGTGGTTGTGAAGCTGGACCAAGGCAGAATTCCCTGTATATCAGGACTCCATCAGGTGCACTGGAATAACAACTTATCATTGCTGTGAACAAAATGTGCCTTGTGTATTGCTAAAAAAGCAGATGCTTCAGTATGGGGAGAGAGGGGAGGGAGGAGGGTAGCTATTAGACAAGTACTGAGTCTCATGCTTGAAGCTTATTAAACTCATTCAGACCACCCGTTTGTTTATGCTGCCTCTCCCCTGACAGATGTTTTTTTAGTGTGGACAGTACTGTTAGTATTCAAGTGGTTATCAGATAAATCAGCACTACTGGAAATCAGAAATGCTAACTCCGTGTCTGTGGCCAGCTCAGTGGAGAGCCCTCATCCCTGATGGTGACAGGTAATAATTTGTGCTTAGTGATGGTGCTGGTGTTGTTTTGCATTGCTCAGCCATACCACAGCAGACTACAAGTGGTCCCACTTGTTGTGATGAACGAGCAGCAGTGGTAGCAGCATCCTGCTGCCATGCTAAGTGAATTGCTGCTGCTAGAAGTACAGCCTAGCTCATGGCAGGAAAAAGGCTCCTGAGGAAATGTGCAAGGAATTAGTGCACATGAAGCATCCTCTGTACCCACTTCAAGAACTGTTGGAATTCTTCCCTCCATTTTTTCTGTCTGTGCAACTGGCAAAACGTGGATAAGGAAAGAAAGGAAGGTTTTGATGTTTAAGGAAACCAAGACAATGCAATGAATGATATTTTGATATCTCCCAGAACAAATAGCACTGGATTGATTTTGGTAAGTGTAAGTGTCTTTCAGTCCAGCATTCCAGTCCCATTTCACTCCAGATTTAGGCTCCCTGGGGTACCATCGTGTACCTTACCACACCCAGCCTTGCAGAGTCCCTCCATTGGGCTCTGCAGGTACTCTGATATTTCAGCTCTTGCCACTCTAGTCCTGTGTCAATAATTCTCAGAAGCTCACACACCTTTTTCTAGACATAGCATTTGAATTACAGATGCCAGTGTCAGATTGTCATGTAATTGGGGAGGAGTTGAGGGAGTTGTGACACATTAACACCTGGGAGCATTAGACAGAAGGGCTTCTGATATGATGAGCTACAGACCAGCACAGAGCTGTGCTGAGTGATCTCTGCAGTCAAACATCACCCTTCTAAACCTGCTGCAAACAAATAAAGCCACCCACCCACATACAGCTGTCTAGGAAAAGGGTTTCTCTTGTCCAAACTCTTAATCATTAGGGTTTCTGAGCTACAAACACAGACTGAGTCCGTACCTTCTCTGGGCTCTTCAGCCTTTCCCACTGGGCCTTCCCAAAGGATTCCTCCATTTCAGCAAGGTTCAGTTTCAGTTCCCCCACAATGCTGTGCCTGGAGAACTTGTCACAGTTTCTCAGGGTGAGAGTCAGTGTTCCTCCTGGCATCTCCTCTTCTGTTAGTGGGAATTGCAGCACCTCCTCCCAAAGGGTGTGAAGCACCTTCTTCTTCAGCTCTGTCTGGGCCTCAGCAATGCCAGACTTGCTCTCCAGTGTGCCCAGTATGTAGCAATGGCAGCCAGTGTCTTGGTCCCCACTCATTCCGCCATGCATAGCTGGAAAAGATGGATGGTAAGGACCGCTCACAAAAGACAGCCCTGAAATATCTGTGGCTAAATTGCTTGTTTCATGACAGCAATAAAATAAAACAGCTGCATAGACATTGACCCCTGTTCCTGCCTGCGTGGGGGCAGATTAAGCTGTGAGCCCATGCTGTGGTGTTTTCCTCAGGCTGCACATTGTCCCTGTCCTTGTGCCACTGCAGAAGGATGCTGCCAGTGCTTGGGAGAGCAACAGCTGAGTTCAAGAAAACACATTCTGTTGAAAGATGTATAACAGTATTGAAATGAGGCAGCATGAAACAGGGATTGGCAGTTCTCATTTACTTTTACCTTGGCACACAAAAAAGCTCCTTACAATGACTTTAAAAACAGGAAAGTCAGTCACAGACATCAGAAATGGGATAGAGCTTCCCTTGGCACACATCCATCCCTCCAGGCCAATGTCTAAGGGTCATTGCATTCTGCTGGTCCAACCTCTGGTAAATGAATCCATCAGAAGCCACCCCACAGCCCAAAAGACCTGCATCAAGAGACATTCATCCCTAATTTTATATCCCTTTTATGTTGAAAAGTCTAGAGTGAGAATGGCATTTCACACTCCTCTTCAGTTGCAGCAACAGAGCTGCACTGCCTTCTCTGGCAGCAAGAGGAACGCCCCCTCCTCCAAGGGGTCACTGAATATCACAGCTTTGAGGGGAAAACTGTTGTCCTTGCTGCAGAGAGTCCAAGGACAGCTGCTCCTGAACTGCCAGGACCTGTGGGTCACAGGGCTCTTCAGCACTGGTGAGCAGAGCAGGTCCTGTGCACAGGAGTGCCAGGGTGGCAGCCAGCCAGCGTGGGTGTCCATCCTGAGGGGAACAGTAGGCTCGCTGCTGGCAGCAGTGGCTGCCATTCAGCACCCTTTCAATTCTTGCCTCAGAGGGTGTGATTTGATTAGGTTTCCACAGAGATCTACACTGTGCATGAATTATTCAGTCAGCTTATTTTACTCTCCCAGAGGAACTGATGATGCTCCAGCCCTGAGTGGAGAAGCTGTTGCAGTTGTCAAAGAGTGACACAGAGCCTGGCCGCCTGGCCAGGCACTGACAAAGGGACTTAAAATAAGTCTGGTATCTCCAGCTCAGGCTTTGGCTTGACTTGAGGAAAGGGCAGTAGGGAGTGGATCAGGTTGAAAAACATGAAAGATATGGAGAGGAAGGAGGTAGTAACCCCATTCGTCTTGCCACCAAAGGAAAAAATAAAAATAAGAGGTTGCTTTGTACCATGTCTTGGACTGGAGGAGCCCATCCTAGTTCCTGACAAAGCTGTGCAAACAACTGTTCCCAAGCCAGGCCTTCTCTTCAAGCAGTGACATTGACAGCTATTCCTGTTCTGCCAGCCCAGCACCAGTGAAACATCCAGTGGTCCTGAGGGCACCTGTTGGCCTTGAGATAGGAGGGGAGCTGTCTGTAGGTGCAATCACCCTGTGTGCTGCCCCGTTCGGGCCAAGTGCCCTTACCTTGGAGGAGGGCCACGCGCAGCTGGGCCCGCTGTGGGTCGTAGAGCAGGGAGTAGTGCAGCTCGGGGGGCTGCTGCGCGCCGCCTGCCCGCTCGGGCTTCAGGTGCTCCGTGACACACACGTCCTTGACCACACCTGGAACTGAAATAGCCCCTTTAGCAAGCAGCTCTTCCCCTTCCCAAGACAGCAAATCCACTTTCTCTTGACTTTACATTTCTAAATGTCTCACTCTTTCTGCACTTTGTAGGCACGACTAGAATTTATTTTCCTTCTTCATCCATCATCATACATCCTTTTTGTTCTGTTTACTTGCACTTTCAGCTCTTTCTACAGCATTTGGACAAGACTTCTGCTCTCTACCACCTTGTGCTCTATGATGGTTCACACACTTGCTCTTTTACCTTATGACTAAACCAAGGTGTCTGAATGACACTCATTACTTGTTTTATATTCTTTTAACTGGTATTATTAAACTAAATCTTATGTTCTCTGCAATAAGAATGTGAGTCTGCTTTTGAACTGCTGTGCAACTCTGCATTAGGTCAGACCTCTCTAAACATTTTGCTTTGTTTTTCTTTTAATTTTACCAATGAAGTCTTTGTCATGCAAAAGACATCCATTTCCATAGCACTTGATCAGGTTGAAGGCAATGAACTTTGAAATCCATAAGGCAGTTTCTCCATGCATGATTTTGGAGCTGAGGATGTATTTCATATTGAAATAAAGCAAGTTGCAAGACTAAAAGAAAAGCCAGAGATTTTTGTCATCCAAAGCTGTTATCTGCAAGGTCAGTTCTGATTCACACAGAACACAATAGTGAGACCAGCACACTTCCTCCTAAAAATCTCAGCCACAGTTCAGACCAGTTCATTGTGGCATCAAAAGGAGAATGCAACAATTCTTGCTTAATTTTAGCAACACTTGAGCTATATAATCAGGCAGAGCAGGAAGGAAACTTGCTTGTGCCATTAGCAGTGCAGCGAGGCTCCTACACCAACACTTATATAAAGCTTTAGCCTAAATGCAGCTATCATCTTTCATCCTTTCCACCCTGATAATCTTTTCCCTGACACCTAAGGATGTGGCTTAGACAGCCTCTTCCTCCAATGCATTTGATTCCCATGGTACTTTCTTTTCCTTACTCACAAGCCTCAGGTTGGAGGGGTGAAGGTAGCAATTGTCCTTCCAGAAGGGCAAAAATAGAATCTCAAAAAATTAAAAATAACTAAAAAGAATACTCAGTAAAAATAGCGGCAGATGGCATTGTCTCTCTGGCAAACCTTCAGGAAGGTTTTATTACAGTGGTAACCATAAGAGTAAATTACTCTGTTAAAATATGGCTGTGAAGTTAAAAATCAGTATGGAAGAAACCCAGACATGTTGCCTACAGATGCATATAATTAAGACTGCATTTTCTCTCAGGCTCTAGAAGTCTTATGTTTCAGGATTTGGAGTGTTACTCTTTGGGCTGGCTGGGAAACAGGAATTCTGTTTGGCAAAAACTTTTGAGGTGTCAGCCTTCAGTTTCACTGCACATTACAATAAGCCAAGAACATCTTACCAAACCATGGCAATAAAGGAGAGAGAAAATTAGAAGCTTTGAGCCCCACTGTCACTGACAAGGACAGTTGTTGGACAGATAGCATTTCACCTGGAGGAGATACTCTGCCTAATTTTGGCCAGATATTTCACACATACTCTGGCTACTGCTTTCAGCACAACTACACTAAATGTGCTTTTCTGCAAAATATCTGCTACCTGGGAGACAGATTCTTCAAAACAAAAAATGTTTAGGTAAAAAAAAAAATGCAACAAGATACAGCTACACCTTTGTTATCAGAATGTTCTTATGAGCTCCATGACTCCTTCTACTAAACAAATGTGTTGAAAGCAAAACTCAGAGTGCTCATGATAAGAAAACGAAAAGCATCCAATAAATTCCACATTTATTTATCTGACAACACTCACATTATGCTTAGAAGTATGACAGATCCACACCCACTAAAGCGATTGCTAGTTTGAAGACCAAAAGCTCCTACCGTTTTGAGGGAGAACAAACAACTCCTCATTGACTTGTATCTTCATCCTATTCTCATCCAAAGCAGTATGTTTTCCAGTAACTGCTTCTTCTGTTGTCTTTAGAGAGTACTGCGTGTAGTTAACAATTTCAGGTGAAGTTACTTCTGGTTTGGGGCCATAAATGTTGGGAAACTTCAGAAGTGCTCGAGGCTGGACTGGCTCTGCAGTTTTCTTAATGTTGAACTGAAAATTAAAGCTTTGTTTATTACTTTGCACAAATTACATTAACTCCTCCAATTCTCTTAACGTTAGATGAGCTGAGACAGGAAAAAAGCAGGGCCTGTGGTCAGTCCTACCATCATTTTTTTCTTGGCTTGTAGAAACCACTGCCTGTATGTCTGGAGACTTTCTCGCCAACAATGATACCTTGTACTTGGTGTGTTTCTTTTCAGATTTATTCCTCTACAGATGTTTGATTATTATAAGAAAAATATATATTCTTGTAATTTGATTTTTCCTCTGTTCTGGTACCAGTTAATATTTTCATAAATTAATCCTTTCATTTTAGTAAAGAAATTAACCACAAAGTTAATTTTGCTTTGATTAAGATATGGCAATATTTACTTTGATGTTTGAAGTCAAATCCAAGAGTAAGAGATCTCACAGAATCCATTATATTTTATGTGAGTATATAGTAAGCATTAAGAGTGCAAAGACATAAATCAAACGTGAAGCAAGTATGACCCTGATGCAATAAGACTAAGGAGAGCTGGTTGAACAAATGAGCCCTGGACTGGCAAACCAAGAAGAGTTTATGGTCATGTCAGCCTCTTGGTTCTGTGGACGAGAGCTCCATCTGACCATCAGACACACATTTCCCCTTTATTATACCAGGACTGAAACTTGGATTTATGTCTGATTTGTTCTTAACACTTCAATTCCCTGCTGAATCATGAACATGGGATAAGCAGAAGAACCTGCAAGATGCTCAGGTAGTCCAAGCAAAGGCTACCAGAAAAGGCATTACTGTTCTCCCAAAACAAAATATTTTAATGGAATAGAACAGTTTTCTTCTGCTTATGTCCCAAGAAAGCATCCCACCTTATAAATTAATCATTCCTGATTCATTTCTATTTGGATTCATTGATGGGGAAGAACAAAAGCTGACTAGCAAGTGACCCAAACCCTTGCAACAGATTTTATTAATGTTTCCAAAACAAGGAAGACAAAACCACAACTAAAACAGCCACTTTGGTTGATTATTGTGCAGTGGGATTATCTCCAACCTACTGCCTGCTAACCTATTTTTGGTCAAGACTGAGGACAAGGCAGAAAAGGTTCATAACTGTAATTAAAATTTTTTATTAGTCTTATTGTTTCCTATTGATAATGAACGTAGATGGTGCCCTGAATCTCTTGTCTGTGTTGGGATTTCCTGGTCCCAGCTTGTATGTCCAGAGGAAGCACACCTACCTCTCAAGAAACAGAGCTGAAGAAAGAGGGCTGTCTTGGATGTTAGCCTAGTCATATTCTGCTTGTGGAGATCCTGGTTGCATACACTTGGCAGTGGTAGGGAACTAATCAGGTCAGTGACTCCATCTTCTCAAGGCAGCCAGTGCACCAGTGTTTAGGAAGGCTACTGTGCAACATAGCATCTTGTCTAATTTTAAGGGCCTTGAAAGAGAAGTGGGCTGAGACAGAAAGACGTCATTGTGTGACATCCTCACCTAGCATTCAGTGGAGTTTAGATATAATGTAAATTACATGGTGTGGGGCCATAAGTGAGATCCCTCTGATAGAGATGTGAGCCTCATCAGTCCTAAAATACCTAGGAAATGTGAAGTTACTCATCCAAATTTTAAATGTAGTGTTCCATGCTTCTAAAATTAAAGCAAACCAAGCAGAATACGTGAGGAATCACTGACAGCAGCTAGAAAAGGCAGGTTGTTTTTGTTGTGCAGATGCATTACATCCAGCACACGCAGTGGTGGTCAGCCTCTGCTGTCCTCTCTCCAGGAGCTGCTGTGTCAGGCTGCTGTCCTGCCACTCACTGGCCACACACCAGAGCCTCCTGCCTGGATTGCTCTGTGCTGCCAACACACAAAGCACTTCCAGATCCTTTGGGATGAAAAACACCACACAAATTTGAGGCATTGTTAGTACTGTCTTTTCTTCCTCTTGCTAAGTACCTTGCCAGGTATTTAGTCAGAAAATCAATCAGCACACGGCATCTAAGAACTCCATTGGGTCTAAATATTCCTCGTCTGTCTGCTCTGCAGAATTAGAGACGAGAGACATATGCAAGCACAGTGGGATTAGCCCACCCCCTCTTCCAACTGCATCTGCCTCTGTTTATTATGTTGCTGCCAGCTCTTTTCCCAAGTGCTGTGTGCTAATCCAGTTACATACCAGCGCCCTGTGGAAGTTTCCTTTGCAACTCAGCAGTTGTGTCTTAAATAAAGACAAGCAGAAGAGTTCAGAGAGCTCTGCAGAAATGCATGAAAGCAAGTAAACTAAAAGGAGCAAGGAGGCTGCAAATGATCCTTCTGTGTCCCTGCCCAATGTCACTCAAAGCACGATAGTGTTGCCATTGTTGGATGTGTTTCATTCTTCATTCTGCAGGTTTTGCTGAGACTTTGCAAATTTACAGCAGTTTCTCATTGTTTTGTAGATGTATGTATGTGTTTGAACTTCTCCTCTTCATATATGCAGGGCATGTCCATGGGGAGCCTCTGTCTATAGCAAATACAAGCATCATTGTCATGGGACACATGCTAAGTGAATAAAATGCAGACTTGCTGCATCTTTCTTTTGTCATCTGTGTTTATCAGAATCAGTGGCCCTGACAGGTTTCAATAATTAAATGTGTCCAACACTGACTAGGACATACTGTGTACTAATATAGTCAGAAAAAAAAGTCCTGACAGAACAATTTATAAACATAGAGATAATAAAATTTCACAAGCTCAGAACTCAAACTGACATTCATTTCTTGAAGGTATAGAGACTGATTCTGATTCAGTGACAGCATAGGAGAATTCATGTTCCTGGCAAGAGAATTATTTCAATTGGAAAGAATTGCTAAACATATGGAATATGCAAACTAAGAACATTTTGCACTTTCTGTGACAGAATGTTCACTCGGCTGCTATAATATGTCCAGATTTCTTTTAAAAGAACCATAAAGCATTGGAAATAATACTTCAAAATTTAAAAAATGCAATCATTCAGGTAATAATGATACATTTAGGGCAGATTGAATAATTTTATCCCCTGTTGGTCAAATACTGGATTAAGTAAGGGCAAAACTTATGAATGTAGACATATTTTGAGGACCATAACTGAATAGCTGGTGAGTACTGGAGGCTTAACTGAACAATATGGAGACATAGTGCTTATTTCATACCTGCAAACAGGATAGTACCCCCATTGACAAGATCCAGGATGGATTAACACTTTCCCAAAATGTTTCCCAAAAAGCTGTATAAAACAAAAAAGCCCAGTCCAAGGATGGAGTTAAAAGGACAATTTGAGATGTTTCTGGGCTTGGAGATAACAACATCAAACTCTCATAGAAAGAGCCTGATGGCAAAGTTTTCTGTGGGTTATGCTGCTGCAGACAACAGCTAGAAAAATTGCTTTGCAAAGTGATGTGGCTGTCAAAGTTACACATTTTTCATTCATGTTAACAGTAAACTTGGGAAAAATCTCTGCATCATTGTACATTCTTATATACAGGTGTTAGCAAATCCCCTCTATGGGGTAGAAAAGACAAGAAAGGAGCCTGAAAGGGACATAACTAAGCTATCAAACAGAATAGCAGATGAAATCCATCCTAGGAAAATGCAAACAGGAGTTATTCAACATGCTCATGGGGGGAGGCTCAGAATTAGCAGCAATCTCTTAAGAAGTGCTAAACTCCACGCAGAAGTTAATACATGGTCAGTGAAGCCATCCTACTACACCTCTCCTCCCCACTCCAGCAACCACAAGATCTGCTAATGCCATTCTCTGTATCTGCACCAGTTCCTACAATACTGTTTGTAGATTTGGTTGTCTTTCCTCATCATAAACTGCAACAAGAACATGAGGATGCCAAGGTTCTTTTCTGCTAAGAGGGTAAGAGTGGAAGCCAGATAAAGACTGAATATTTAATTACAAACATTACAGATGAGTTCAATTAGGACTCCAGCTACACTCTTTAGGAATCCAAAAATAATAGTCAGCTCAAATAATTAAAAGGCAAACAAAGACTGTTATACAATGGAGCACAGGCCTTTAGAATGGGCTACTATGGCATAATACTTGGTTGAATGGTTAGGTGAAAGTGAAAAGGACACAGGCACAAACAAATATCAGGAGCAACAGCCAACAGGTAATACTTTCAGAGACAGACCAGTGCTATAGCTTATTCTAAAGACCACATTCAACTGAGGAAATCATCAAACACCTCCCTTTGAAGAAGAGATTCCCATTAATATCAGTATATTAGAAGTGTTCTATAATTCCCCGAGCCACTCTTGCCCTGGGCTCAGGAGTAAATCAGGCTGTTTGGATTCTAACAAAAATGAAAGAGCACACAGGGATGTCTGATGCTATCCATACTCCACATTGTTTTTACAATAAGTGAAAAAGAAATTCACAGTGTGATGAGATTGTCCAGTCATCACAATCTAGATTCTCACTTGCTTTTTATTATGATTTCAATGCCTTGTTTTAGCTTCACACATAATTAATCCCCTCAGTTAGAAGGGAAGAAGGAGGAGGAGGGAAGGTTTTCACAAGAAACCAGCTGTTGACAGGGAACTATCCTGCAGAACGATGAGATATTGTGAATAGAATTAAATAGCTGCTATACGAGATCTCAGCAGGAGCCATCTCCTCATCACAATGCTGCGTGCCACCTGGTACAGTCCAGCCTTCTCTTCTCAGGAAATAATTTCCTTTCTGATCTATCTTAACAACTAAGCAGCATTTCCAGTCTTCATCCCCCGTTTCTGCCATTAGCAGCTTTCTTTCTGGCTCCGTGGCAGCTGTCTCCTGCTCCAGTAATTCTGTGGTATCCAGCTCATCTCTGTTTTTCCCTCACTCCTCCTCCCACTGGCATGTTGTTATATCCCAAACACAGTAAGCAGATAAACAGGCAGCATAAATCACATGCTGAGTAGCCTAACAGGGAAGTTGCACTCCCACCCTCCGCCTTTAAAGAAAAATCACAGAGTAAATTAGAGACTGTGTCTTACTTGCTGGACTGGCTGAAGCACACTGGGCTTAGTATTTTCCGTCTCGTCCTCTTGGTCCTTTTCTGAGAGTCCTTTCCCAGGTTGCTTGCATTTGCAGAAGCAGGTGAGGCCACAGAGGGCAAGGATGCTAGTTGCAGTCCCTAAGGTAGCCCCCAGGGCTATAACTGGAGCAGACAAAACCATTGTCCTGGGCTGCACAGGAACAGAAAGCACAGAGACCCTGTGGCTCTTTCTACTCTCTGGGAGAGCAGCTCTCCCACATCCACTCCGAATTCTAGCCTGGCTTCATTCTCCTTGGAAGTCTGAAAGCAATTCTCTTTGCAGCAAAGGGACCAATCTAGACACACAGATAAATCATCCCACCTTTGCTAGGCAACAAGGCTACCTTTCTATCCTGCTGATGGAGTTGCTGCTCCAGGTCAGGGAGAGGAAATAGTAATTGCGGTGCCTGCAATCTCCATATAGCTGCAAACAGGCAGTTTTCATTGAAGCCTGTTCTCCAGCTCCACTGGGAAAAGTCTGATGTGTGATAGAGAGGAAAGACGTCAGCAGAAGGGGCTGGCCTTGCTAGCTAACTCACAGAAAGTGCATCCAAGTGTTTGATCATCTCTCTAGCAATATTTCTCGGGTTGGCTTGCTATATGCTCAAGAGGTTGCATTTTTTTTTTTGTCTTAAGGCAAAGATAGTGACTGCCAAAAGCTGCTGGCCTGAGAAGCTGTGTTATGATAGCATTGCACGATAACTCTGTAGTCACAGTAAAGCCTCTGTATAAGTCAGGCAAAACTTTTTCATCCTTCAGAGGCTGCAGAACAAACACAGGCAAGAATTAAGCACTGTCCCATGCCTCACCACCTGCCCCTCAACACACAGGGGCTGAACCTTTTGGAGCTACTTTCTGCAGGATAAATGCAGAGCAGCACCTCTATTTAAAAAGAGAGCAGAAAATCCTACCAAATAAGATTCACTAGTGCATATGCTGCTTCCTCTGGAGAAAATGAGAAAGCAAACAACATATGCTAGATATTAGTCATAGTGCTTACCACACTGGTGTCAGGCAGTGGGCTGCTGAGCACAGAAGAACCTGCATGAATAGACTTGAAGAGCTAGATGTCCGTCCCAGTTTTCTCTTGAGGTGATGGAGTGATTATCTTTCTCTGACTCATTTATTTTTGCCTTATTTCTCAGAATGCCCAGCTTGGGGAAGAGGATAATAAATGCTGTTTGATGTGTTTGATAATAAATGTTTGATGTGTTTCTCATGATATGTACTACCCTTTTCTGGGTACTTCACAAGGAGGATCTAGTGGCCAGAAGGTGATTAAAATTCTGGCCACTATATCTCTCAGCCAGAGTGAAAATAGTCAGCAAAATGCAAAATATTCCAAAAATACCCAGTTCTACTGATTCTACTGGGAGTTTGTCATTCTATTTTGGAATATAGTTGATGCCCGTGGATCAGGAAAACAAATTAACTATGTACAGAGAATTGCTTAGAAATTCAGGTGTTTTGATCCTTCTGCAGCTCAGGTTTTGCATAGATTTTTCTTAACTTTTTTTTTCCTTTGATACTTCACATCTTATTCATGACAACTCACGCAGCCTTTGTTCCTTGATGACATGTTCACCTCCATGGTACAAAAGTTCCTTTGCACATCTGAGTCTCATTTTAATTGTTAGATTCCTCTGTAGCACTGCAGCATCCTAATGGCTGCAGTGCACATTCCCCTTCTCCTCACCCTATCTGGCTTGTCAGACATATCTTGCTTCCAAGCCTCATGACCCCCCATCAAGGATCAAATGCCAATGGACTCTTTAAGCAGAGGCAGTTCCCTAATGAACTGCTGAGCCCATGGAAACTGGTCTTTCAGCTCAGCCCACAGAAGGAAAACCTTGAGTTTTGTCCTCTATCTACAAGAACAAAAGTTAGTGCACCAGGCTGGACCACTGGCACACCTCTCCCTGTGCTCAGCAGTGGGAAGAGCATCACACAGAGGAGGCTGAGTGATCTGACTAAACAATCCCTTTGCTTCTTATTTTTCGTATCTCAGGAGATTCCAAAGCCTTGAGTAGCATCCTCTTCTGAATTGAATTACCTCTTCTGAAGTGAATTTTCTCTGCCACAAGTAGACTGTTCCAACCATTTGCTGACTTATCTAACAGCTATTTCATTCAGCCCACAGATGAACAGGTAACATTGTAATCATGGTGCCATGAAGTCTCATCTAGAGTTAAGAGCTTGAACCAAGTTCTTATGGACTTCTACCACCACTCAAGAGAAGCAGAAGTGAGAAGAGTCTGAAAGATGACAAAAAAGATGGACACACTCTTTAGATGCCTTTGATTTCCTATACAGGATGGGTTCTTCCTAGGAGTGCCAATGAAATCTAACACAGCTAGATCAGAGACCCCAGAGATTTGGAAACAACATGAAAAGGAAAAAGGTTCTGTTAAGGGTAGAATACAGTGAGAGAGATTTGGAGTGGAGAAGGCATTCAGTCCATTCATGAGATGCAATATTGATGTGTTTTCCACAAGCTGTTCTGAGAATTATACAAAGACTGCTTACAACATGCTGTAGAAGTAAGGTCACACCAAAGTATCTCTGCAAGACAATAATTTAATAGCATAATCTCTGAGATATTTTCTGCCTGCTTATATAGGCAGATTAGGTTTTCCTTGCCAGAAATTGTATTTGATGTGAAATGTAATAGGCACAGAATTATTTTCAGATACCATTTTTTAATAGTAACAGTCAGGCAACAGTCTTTTGCTGCTATTGCTAGGAAAACAAAGAAGCTCTCCCCAGACATTGAACATAATCAGTATTATCAGCTTCTACAAGTGACAGGCCAAAGATTTCAGACTTTTGTGTGTGAACTGATGCACGTACAGATACATAATTTAACTGTAGCTTTGGCATGTACTGCCACTGCATGGTTACTTATTTTCAGCACATTCTGTTCTAAAAATATTGGGCCAGAAATGTGTTTCAAAGTCATCTTTAGGTTTGCTTGTTTCAACACCCAATAATTAAATTGCTTATTTTTCTTTAAAGCAGTAGTAGGATAAAATGGGGTCAGGTAACCTTTCTCACTGGCCATTCACACTGATACTGTCCAGAATCACATAGCTTTTTTATCTGTCACATCTGCCATAAGAAAGAGACTTGCCAAGGTAGAAAGATGAAAGCCTGTTTCTGCAATCCAGGTTTTAGGGACAGGTTCAGGCCTGACAACATATTTCACAGTCATTCTATCCACATATTTTCTCTAGATTCTGATGTTAGGTATGTATAAGAATGACAAAAGCATATACATGGTTTTCAGCTTCTAGTAGTTCAGACAAGAATACTCTGTGATGGCAAAATAGAAGGTACCAGTAAACCTTTGGTGCCTATAGATTCTTTGTTCCTGCTGTGAGCTCTTCTGCTGACATTTTGGGCCTTTCTGTTCATTGGCTGTATAAAAGAGGCTTACTCTGAATGAAGACTTGGTAGTACAGCTCACATGGAGAATTACAAGAGCTTTTGCATTGCCTAGCTGTAGTTCATGCTGTAACAGAAAAAAAAAAAAAAAAAAAAAAAAAAAAAAAAAAGAAGCCCTTTAATATAATTGCCAACCACTTGAATAAGCAGGTGGGATTTTCAACCTTTATTTTGACAATTGAAGACACAAATTAAAGTGCCAGAATCCAGAAGGAAAAGCTGATATACATCTGAATGAAAGATGTTTGCACACTATTTTCCCTGACTCAGCCTACTCCACTCCACAGGGGCTGGTATCAGAGATACTCTGTTTCTCACTGAGGCATTTCACCAGGCAGAAGTGTGAGTTAACAGATGGAAATGGGAAAGTTGTCCGGGCTTTTTTTTTTTTTTCAGGGAAATCCTTGTGACAGTCAGATTTAGCCTGAAGGTGTAAACTCATGTTTTCGCTTGTATTGACTTGTTATGTGATTCTGTGCTACACAAATGGAACAGTTTGAACAGAATGGTGGTCTAAAATAACTTTCCAGATCATAGCAAGGTATTAAGGTGTTTACATCATCCACTTTGGGCACTGAAATAGTCAGTTAGTAACAGAAGACCACATAAGGCTGACATGTATTTTGTATAATAAGTAGAAATATTGTGAAAACAAAAGTGAAGGTAAAAGTCTTGTGCTTGCAATGACTGCATCTGACTCCTTATGCTTTTGTGTGCTGTTGCCTCAGATTGTAAAATCTCTAAGAAAGAGATTCTGTCTTCCTCCAAGTGGTGAAGTATTCGTCCCCCAGACGGTGAAGTATTAACAAACCACTGAAATAATCCTTTGCAGCACTATTAAGACAAAGCAGTTGTCTCTACCCATTCATATGCAAAAAGAAAATAAAGAAGGAAGATCTGTGAGAGGAATGTGGGCTTGGTCCCTCCATCACTGTCATTGAAACAGACCTATAGATATAAATCAAGTAAATTAAGTAATTAAGGGAAGAACAAAGACTCTGTTTCTAAAAGGAAGCTATAAGATGATCAGCCTCAACAAAATGAGCTTCAGGGTGTGGTACTTCATCTGATGTTAATGGATGTAGAACTCCTGGAACCTCCAGACTTATGGGAGCACCTGCCAGCTGTGTGTGTAGTCTTTTGCCACATTTCTACCCTCAGGATGATGATAAGGATTTAGCACTGTGGAGGGTCCAGCTAGTTGCATGCATGCAGTGTATAGGGTTTGTGGTTAATGATTCCGTACTGGGACACTACACTGTCCTGAGATTAAAATCTGTGGAATTCAGGAGATTTGTGGAAAAAATATACCTGTTTCAGGAGGCTGCCATGTACCTCCTGTCACCAGCAACCACTGTAACCCTGACTGCTGTACATCTCTTGCATCCCTTGCAGCAGCTTTGGATGAATACTGTCAGAAGGTGGAAGACTCAATACTAGAAAGTAGAAAGAAGGGACCAAAAAGCAAAAACTGGGGAGGAATAGGAAGGGTCTGTAATATGAAAATAGGGCATTGGTGTGGCTGCTGTACCAGGATGCTATTAGATGCTACACTATAAGAAAAATAGGAAAATTAGAGTGGGTTCCGGAAAGGACCACATGAATGAATGAAGGGGTGTGAGGCAGTGGATCAGCGTGTGCTTCAGGAAAGACAGTCTCTTTATCGATGAAAAGGCTAAGGGCTGTCTTGGTCAAAATCCTTAAGCACCCAGTTGTGAAATAAACCTTTGATGAAAGAGGTTCTTGCCTGCTGAGCAAACACTGTGTTACCAGGAGCTAATGGCCAGAAGCTGATGCCAGATAAACTCAGAGTAGAAACGTTGCAGATTTCCAACAGTCAGCATAATTTCTGTGGGAGCAGTCTCTGGGGGATTGCGCAGGGTTGTCCATCACGGGTAGTTTTGAAATCAAGATTAGTGTTGTGCAGATTGTTTTTATGGGACTATTTTTGTTCACTTGTGGTCTACACTGATGTCGAGCCACCAGTTACACCACCACTGTCTGTCCTGTGTTCCATATGTATATGGGGACTATGTGGCATGTGAAGAGAATATT